ATATTTAAAAATAATGAAGAAAAATTCTTTATTTCAGCTAATAACTGCTGAAGTAATGATAAAATTAGCATACCACCATTTTGCAACCCCTCAAGAGTGGATGAATCCAGGTGAGGATCAATAGCTGCTAAAACCATAAGGTTTAAAGCTGGCAGGGAAATTTCTAACAGATGGATCAGGGTGACATGTCGATTCCACTGATCATCTTAACGTTGCCAAGAAGAAACAACAGATGTCATGTGCCTCCCCATGTGATGGTGTAAGACATGTTCTTGAAAAAAAAAAAAATTGAATCCCAACATTATCAATTCCCCAGTTCTCACTACCAGTCAACTATCAGTTTATAGAAAACACAGAGGATAGAGAAACATGGTTAATACCACCAAGAAGATGGGAAATTCTATAAGATAAAACAAATAGGTGCCATGACAAAAAATAGGGAAAGGAAATTGATACAGAATAAAAGAAACTTAAGAGACATATCAACTAAACGTAATGCATGGATGGAGATTGTACGTAAAAAATGAATTGTATTATAAAGATTTCATTTTTCTTTTGTGATTTCCTTGTATAATCTGCTTGTTTTACACTTTGTTAGCACCTGTTTTACAAACACGACTTAGAGTTCAATGCTGTGATTTTTGAAGACTGAGTGAACGATGAAAAAGAATTCTAGGCAATTCTGATAGTAAAAAAGAATCACAACTTAAAAATGCTGCAATGGCTCCAGCAAAATTGAAAAGACAAAAAAAAAAAACAAACAAAAACCCACAGTAAAGGAGCAAATAATTTCAAGTGGCCTTTGGAACCCCAGAGTAAAAAATCTGTTTTAAAAAAGTCACCTTTATTTGACACAACAGTGCAAAATGATTATAAATCAATAAAAAAAAGTTAAAAAAAAGATATGAAGAAAAAAGTCACCTTTTAGAAAAGGAAGTTATTAAGTGGCAGAACCTTTTGACTAACAAAGGGGAAAAAGTTCCAAAATTGGTAAGAACATCACAATTCTAGTATGTAAATTTATAGAGAGTAAAATGTAAGAACAAGACATAATATGAGAAACTAAAAAAGTTTCACTCTTAAAGTTCAATAAATTGATATAACTGATGACATATCACATGATGCTAAAGATATTTTTGTATAATAAGCCAAAAAACAACTTTTATTCAGATTGATAAATGAACAGATTTCAACAACAAATGTATTAGGATAGCACCTGTGCAATATGTAAATTGTGGTGAAATTCAAGAAAATTTTTTTCTGCTATAAAATGCTGCCCCAAACAAGCAAAGGCCAAGATACATTTACTGTTTTGTCTTCATATTGGAAACAAAAGGTACATCTTGGAGGAAATGAGTGGGCATCTGCACTGATGGTGCCCTGTCAATGATCTGAGCATTGTTCCCTGAGAGGGTTCACTCTCATGAAAGAGAAAATCCTGATGTATTCACAACACACTGCTCTCCTCCCAGAGAGGTGCTGGTGTTAGAAACTTTTGGAGCTAAAATGAAAAGAATTCTGGATGATGCTACAAAAATGATTAAACTTGTCAAAGGCCAGTTTACTTGAGAATATTTAAAAAACTATGTAAACACCTGGACAAAAGACCACATAAATCTGCCATATACATAAAATCTTATGACTTAAGAGATCACTGGATCTGGGGGAAGCTAGCTGCCATGTCGTGAGAATGCTTAAGCACTCAGTTAAGAGGCCCATGTGGCAAGGAACTGAGTGTCCTTGGCAACAGAGAGCATTAGCTTGCTAGGCACACCTCAGAAATTGATCCTCCACCCTCAGTTGTGCTTTCAGTTGTCTCTAGCCCCTGTCAACATCATGACTGCAACCTCATGAGACCTGGAGCCAGAACCATCCAGCTAAGCTGCTCCTGAATTTCTGATTTACAGAGATTACGCAACATAATGTTTATTGTATCAAGCCACTAAATGTTGGGGTAATTTGTTACACAGGGAGAGAAACTAATATTGATTTTGATTAACAGGATGTTTGAGCTGAAAAGTGAACTGTGGGAATACGAGGGCCTGGAGAAAATATTTATATCAAGTGACAAGATTCTTAGGTTTAAATGGAAACTGAATCTTTGGAAAAAGCATATGGCAATAGAAATCACTGAAATGTTTCTGCTGCTGCTTGTACTTGAGAGTGAGCAAATTTCAAGTTGAGACCAAACCACCTGGTGGAATTGCAGAACAGGAAGAGTTTGTGAGATTATGGTTATAAATGTAAGATGAAATTTACTGACTTGCCCTTCTACAAGTGCTGGATTTCTGTGAAAGCAACCTACCATTCATACAAAAGTAATAAACATTTTATCATTCCAACTTCCTGTGTGAGCAAGCTTTTTCTTAGTGAATGAGCATGAAGAACAGTGACAGAAATCATCTCATTTCAGTTGAAAATGAAATCTATGTATGCCAGTCTCAAGATCAACTCAGAATTGACTATATACACAGCAAAAGACAAGCAAAGATTTCATACTAAACAGGTAAATATCATTTTTTTTAGTTTCAAAAGTAATACTTTCATACACATACAGGAAAAGAATAATATTCATTAAAATCAAATTGCAATCTACTAAATTAAATGAAAATTTGAAGTTTCCTCTCCCACTTATTTTGCATCAGAATTGATATCCTATTATAATAACTATAAATGGAATATAACCTTTAAAATTATGAATCACTATATTGTACACCTGTAACTTATATAATATTGTATAACAACTATTCTTCAATTTAAAAAAAAGAATTGATATCCTTTGTGAGAAGGGGGAAACAACATAGAGTAGGCTAATAAACTGGACAAAAATAAACAGATTCATGGAAAAACACCATTCTCTACTCAGAAGAGCACTGAGTTGTACAACAATGTGAACCACTGAATTATACACTTCAAAATTAATAGTGTGGTACATTTTATGTTATGTGTATTTTACCACAGCTGAAAAAAAAGAGCATAGACAATTATTACTGGATTATTATGTCTACATGTCTATAAACTGCTGATCGTGTTAACATAACAGGATGGAGATACACATATATATAAAATTTGTATGCAGGATTTTCTGACATAAAAATTACTTCAATGATTCCTCCAGGGTAAAAAAGACAGAAAAAGGCTGATCTAGTGGGTGGGAAATACAGATTTTTCAAGAAGGAAGTGTTCTACAATGGCAGAGAAAGAGAAGCAAGATCATGATGCTGGCCTGATGAGGTGGAGAAATGTTGTACAGCTGGAGTGAAATAAAATTAATTATATAGAAAGTTTAATCAATGGAGAAATTTTATCTTAGAGTTGTTGCTAAAGGAAATGGGGAATTACTTGGGGTCCTGAGAATGGCTTTGGTATGAGGAAACTGAGTAAGTTCAGTATGTCATCATATGCAGTACAGATGGAAGTAAAGTTAAGACCGGAATCATTTATTTTGAGGCAACAAAGATGCTCAGAATGTGAGGATGTTGTAGTTCTCTGTAATTATTTCTGGAGTTTCGAGTTGTAGATTATATTGGGTGATTCAGGGTAGGAATAACAGAGGAAAGTGTGGCAGAGACAACAGGAGGCTTGTAACGACAGTAGAAAGCTACTTTAGAATGAATGAATAGAAATTGATATCTTTAAATAAGAGAGACTGCAACCAAGGCTGGGTGGGATGGTGAAAATGATGGTAGAGAAGGAGGGTGCTCAAAGATTTGAGTCCACAGATTCGGAAACCAAGAGTATGATGCTACCATGAAGACAAACAGGGAATTGGAATGATGAATAACTTGGAAAGAGGAAGGAATGAGATTGTGGGTGGTGGTGCAGAAAAGGACTGTGGGCTGTGAGAATCTATGGTTCTAGTTTGTCCTTCTAACTAGCTGAGGAAGTCAATTCGCTTCACTGAATGTCAATTCCTTACATATAAAATAAAGGGGCACCATGTAATCTCGAAAGCCCCATAAAAATTCAGTGGTTTCATCACATTGAGTTGGAGACAACAGTGGGATATCAAAGGGAGATAAAACACTGAACATCAACAAAACAAAACAGAGCAGGGTAGCTATGAATAACTCCTCCTCTGTAGGATGTATAGAATTTAAAGTACATTTGACAAATCTGAATAAAAATTCATTGATCAATTTCCTTTCTATATTACTGTTAGGTGCTTTCTCAAGAAACTTATACTTTAGTGAGACGACATATTGTGATTCCTAGTATTTCCGCAGTTAGGTTTACGAAGTTCTTCCAATATGAAAATAACCCTCTGAAAAAGGTACCAATCCCCACCCTCTTTCAAAGAAGCGGTTGACTGTGTTAAATACTAAAGTAAGGTCTCAGAAGATTCGAGTGAAAAGAGACCAACCAAATTTAATAAATGGGAGATGGCTAGCTTTTTGGGGGAGAGAAGTTTTAGCGGAAGTCAGATACTAAAGGCTTAAAGACATAAGGGGAAGGGGGCTTGTAGTATCGACAGTGTACAGCCTGTCGGTGCTCAAAACGTACTTGACAAAAGAATAAACTATCTGGTACGAAAGATAAAAATATATAATCGGCTTTCTGTCAGATAACATAGTATTTTAAAAGTATACGCACGCATGCATTTTTTTTCCCTTTAGTGAAACCGTAGGACAAATCGACAGCATAAGAGAGCCCACAACGCGCGTACTTCAAAAGATCCGGAAGAAACAAGCGACTCGAAAGAACGCAGACGTGCTCTTCCACTGAGTTCCGACGCGACCAGACCCACCTCCCGCCAGCGCGCGGCTCAAAACTCCTCAGAGCTTCGGGCGGAACAGCTGCAGGAGCTGGCAACCAACCGACGAGCGCCGGGACCGCAGTGCAACCTGGGAAGCCAGAACGCACGGCCAATCCGCTCCTGCCAGGACCCCGCCGGGCTGCTGGGAGAGAGGCGGTCCCTGACGCCAGCCATCTCCAACGGCAACCCCGCGGCGGTACTTCCTGCAGCGCCCTAAGGTAAAGGACGCCGCTGTTGTACGTCACTTCCTCTGCTCGCGGTAGGCAAGTAGACGTAACTGTCGTAAGTTAGCGGTTGAAATTAGATCTTATTGATACTCCTACAGCGCTGAACGTTGTTTCGGAAAAGTGACAGCGTTGCTGGTTCTGCCGGTGACCGACTGGTTTTGTAAACCAGTTATTCGACTGTTTAGTCGGTCCCCTCCTCCTCACCCCCCGCTTTGTGCCGGTACGGTGGCCGAGGAGGCTCTCGTGCGGCGGAAGTACCGGGCGGGTGGGTGTGCGTACCCGGGACTGAGGTGCACGTGGCGCCGGTGAGTGGCGGGAGAGGGCTGGGAGATTGGACACGGAACCCAGCGGAGGGCGGGAGGGAATGCGACCGAGGACCTTGCTGCCTGGTGGGGGAGGAGATACTAACCGGGGGCGACGCGGCTAGTGAGTGCTTGGTCCGAGCTCACAGGGCTATGGGGAGGTGACACTCACTCTTCGGGCTCGTCACTGGCGGCCTGGCCGTGGGTGAGGTGGCAGGGTTGATATTATTATTATGTCCCCTTTTATGGTGTTCCGACCGAAGCGCAGAGGGGTTCGGCGCTGTACCCAGGAGGCCACAATGATCGAAAGGCACGCACTGTTTTTCTCACCAGGTAGGAGCGAGCATGTCTTTCCGAGGCGGAGGTCGTGGAGGCTTTAATCGAGGTGGCGGCTTCGGTCGCGGCGGCAGCAACAACCACTTCCGAGGTGGAGGCGGCGGTAATTTCAGAGGCGGCGGCGGCGGCAGAGGAGGATTTGGACGAGGGGGTGGCCGCGGAGGCTTTAACAAAGGGCAAGACCAAGGACCTCCAGAACAAGTAGTTTGTATGTCGGTTTCAAAGCTTGGCCTACTTGGGGGGCGGGGGGGGGAGGTGGAGCGGGGTCGAGGAACCGAGGTTGTGAGTTTTTGTTTGACTGGAAGTCAGTTGCTGAAAGGTAGGTCTAGCAGCTCTCTGTCATACGGAGGTTGCTGCTTGGTTGGGGAGTCAAGTCTACGGAGGGTCTGTAAAATGACTTATAATAGCTGTGCTGTAGTATGTAAGGTGCAGTTCAAGAAAGCTGAAAGACACTTAGAATGCATGGTGGAGATTGAACTTGGATTGAAAGGAAGACATTAAATAGATAATATGCGCTTACTCCTATTGTCCCTATTTCGCAGATAAGAAAACTGTAATTGAGAGCTAAGTTTCTTCGCTAGGGTCAAGTGATAAGTGATCTTAAATGATATATTTGAGGTACTAAGTCATGTTTTCTGACTCCAAAGCCCATGCTTTCAATTGCAGTAAGAGAAATGAGGAAAAAAAATTGCTTGGAAGGGAAACTACAGCGGAAAAGTCAAGAAAAGGGCCTAATTAGAGCAGTTTTGGAATAATTATCAATGAGGAAGGATGAAAGTCATGGAAAGTTAGACAGATTTGACAGTAGAAGCCTACATCAAAGAGGAAAAAGGATGAACAGAGTCTAATGTAAAGAGTAGGTGGGATTGGTATGCAAGATGCTTTGAAGAGGTCAGCAGCTTGAGTCAAAGATCCTAGCCTACAAGCCTAGCCTATAACAGTCCGTGCATGACACTTTGAGAGCATGGTGGAAATGAGGAAAGAAAAGAAGTGTTAGACGGGAGAGATATTTAATGGAGACAAAGTCAGGACAACTTGGTTAATACTAAGAATAAAAGGGTCTAGGTTTTGAGCTGGGGTGATAGGCATGGATAGTTGGTTTTGTAGGAATATGATGAGTAGTTTTGTTTAGGTTAACCATAAGTTAGATATAAAGGTAGTATTTTGAGGTTCTAGACTTCCTTGGAAAAGACTGAAGTCATTGATGAAGAGGTGGTGCTGGGAAGTTATGAAGTGGGGGAAAAAAGACAGGAGATCAACAGAGACTGACTTAGGGATGAAGAGATGGAAGAAGAGACAGTAGAATGAAGCATAGTTTAATCACATACTAATAGTTATTATAATAAAATAACTTACTATAGGTTGAGTTCTCAATGTGCCAGGTACTTTCTAAGCACTTGACATTTATCATTGCACGTAATCCTCACAATACTAGATGTTAGGTGTCGGTACTGTTACTACCCCTACATTAAAGATGAGGACACTGAAGCAGAGGGAAGGCAAGAACCTTACCCCAGGTCACATAGCTAGTATGTAGTGGACCAACTCAGGAAGGCTTTTTTTGCCTCAGAGGAGAACAGATACGATGAAGTCGCAGGTAGCCAAGGAGAAAGCTTCAGAAGAGGTTGGTCAGTATCACTTGAAATTGTTTTATATTGTAACATTTTCTTGTCCTCTTTCAGTATTGGGAGAGTTCCTGCACCCCTGTGAAGATGACATAGTTTGTAAATGTACCACAGATGAAAATAAGGTGCCTTATTTCAATGCTCCAGTTTATTTAGAAAATAAAGAACAGATTGGAAAAGTGGATGAAATATTTGGACAACTTAGAGATTTTGTATCCTTTTTAACTGGAAGATGTAGCCATCTCATTGAAAGGTTATTATTTGCCTTTTCTGGAGCCATGTATTGATTAAACTAAAATTGTTTCTTCATTAAATTGGACAGAGTATTGGTAACATTCGACCATAAGGGAAAATCAAGAGAGAAGAATGTGTTTCCGCATATATTGAGAAGGTAGGCCGTATACGTGCGACTTCCTTTTTGGAAGGTTTTAGAAATGATTGCCATTTGGATAAGTGTCACAGGGTTGACGTACTTTGCTTTGGATATGATGATGCCACTGTAATATGGTGGAATTGGAAGTTTTAAAACAAAAGTGAAAACTTCATTGCTACTTGGAAACTCATTTCTTACTTTTTCTAAATATTTCCATATATTATAAACTTGTTGTTTTTAAAATTGCACATGAATTCAGAAGGTTATCGTCTTCAATCTTAATTGCTTATTCCTTAATAGAGTTAATAGTATTTTTCAGTTAAATTGTCAGAAAACATGAAGGCATCTTCCTTTAAAAAACTACAGAAGGTGAGTCAAGCCTTTGATACGTAGGATCCTTGGTCTTATAAGCAAAAGACCTACGGTAGTTACTAGGACAGTTTTACATAGGGCACTTGTTACTCCCTCAGTATGTCACTAGTGAAGCTCTTAAACTGAGATGTTCTGTACTTTAGACATTGAACTTACCAATCTTTAAAGAAATGTATCAAATTCAGTTTTTCAGAAAGTAATCCTTGGTCATATTAACAAATTCTGTAACTGCTAGAGTATATTTTTTAGCTTATATAAAACTCATTGGAAAGCTTGTGTTCTAAGTATAACTTGCATTATGAAGCTTATATTATCTGGGAGAAGTCAGGTGTTAAATGATTTTACAGATATTTCAGTAACATGATATATGCTGTAAAGGAGAAATATAGGCTGCTATGACAATTTTAGTAGTGAGACAAAGTTTAGTGTATTGGCTTTCTGAGAATGTGAGCTTGAAGCTGAGACCTGCAAGTTGACTACGAGTGACTCCCAAATCTGGTTGCACAATACCTGGGGGAGCTTTTTAGAGGATGTATTTCTAGGATGTACTCCTAAACCCAGTGGGTCCTAGGGACAAGGATTCAGTTTTAAAAAGGAAAAGTGGATGATTTTGATAAGTTTAGGCTAGCACTTGGGAACCACTGCACTAGCCAAAGAGGAGGAGGAAGTGCATTATAAGTAGGCAAGTCTCAGATAGTAAGACACTTCAAGGATCTAAAATAGGCAGAGGTAGAGCTTGGACATAGAACATTTAGGAGGAGTGAAGAATGTTGTGAATTAATGGTTGCAGAGGTAGGCAGAGGCTAGATTATTAAGGCTTTCAGGTTATGAAAAGAATTTAGACTTTAATTTTGTTTTGAAATATAAGGATATATATGATTAAATTTATATTTAAAAGAGGGCACTGAAAAAATAAAAGAGCACTTGGAAAGAAATCAGAACTCTATGTGAAGGGACCACGTTGGAGACTGCTGCTTTAGTCCTGGAAGAAATATTTAAGACTAGGGTAGTAACAGTGGAAATGGAGAAAAAGTTGTTGAATTTATGAGAGATACAGAAAGTAGAATTGATAGGTCTTGATAATTGATTAGCTATTGAAGTTGAAGTAAAAAGTATCACCATCTTTTCAGCTGTGATTTCAACATCTTGTGGATGGTATCACCGTTCACTAAAATGGGCAACACTAGAGAACAAAGAAATTAGGGGAAGATAATGAATTTAGTTTTGGGCATAAAGAGTTTGAAGCATTTGTGAGATATTCAGTGGTTAGGAACTCAAAGGAAGAGTCTGGATTAGAGATGGATTTGGGAAGTTGTCGTTGGATAGACAGTGTATGATATAGTCTAGGAAGAGAGAGAGAGGGGAACAGAGCTTTGGGGCACCTTTAAATTTATTTATATCTGTTAATGGAGACTGAACAGTAATTGCCAGTAAAGGAGGAGGCCAACGGGGAGAGTTTCATAAAAGTGATGTCACCAAAGTAAAGCGAACAGAATGTTTCCAAGAAGTGCTCAAGTGGCAAAATGCAAAGTATTTATTGGATTTAACAACTTGGAGATCAACAGATCATGGAGCCAATGGAGTGGTAGGCTCATAAGCCAGGTTGGAATAGTAGATGAGATGGGGACAGTGCCTGGTTGCTAGTGTATGGCTACTGGCTGTAGAAACCCTGAGAAGTACCCACTGGGAAACTGCACTGCTGCAGGTGGTCCCGAGAGCCAGGCTTCTCATTTGGTGACCTGAGAAAAGAATTTGTCTGTAATAGCCACTTGAATTTGATCTGGATTCCTGCCTTTTCTCACATCACTATTTGAGCATTTGTTATTTAGTGTTTTTTATCGTAGATGCGAAATTGTACATTCTTCCTTTCTCATTTTAAGATCTACTGTTCATTCCCTCCTTATCAGCCTAGGTTATTATTTTAGTTTCTAGACCGATGCTGTCCAGTTGAATTTTCTTAATGGTGGAAATCCCTGCCCAATGCAGTAGCCACTAGCCATTTGTAGCTGTTGGGTACCTGAAATGTGGCTAGTGTGACTCAGAAACTGAACTTTAAGTGTTGGTTAATTTAAGTCTAAATAGGCACTTGTGGCTAGTGGCTGCCATATTGGACAATGCAGAACTAGACAGTGTTTTTGAGGGATATATTTGTGAAGGGCAAAAGAGTGTAGGGTGATACTAAAGAGGGATTTAAACATCTTATTACAAGTAATACATTACAGATTTGAAGCATGTGTGTTTTGTGTAAAATTGTGTAATACACCTATTATATTTCATTATCTTGAAGAATATGCTCTTTAACCCCAAATACGGAGGGGGGAGGTTAATTTTTACATATCTTCCATTACTTATGTTCAGTAAATAGTTACTGATTTGATCTTTTATTAAAGTCTTGAAATACCCAGCATGTCAGTGCTTCATTTTGAATTTTAATGCTACATTTTTAGTAATTTCATTTTTCTTGTGGCAATTCTGTTAGTGATAATGTGGTTAATTTTTGGAGGGCATTATCTATTTTTAAAGAGAAATGAGATTGAATTGGTCTTGGTTTTTATTTTTATTCATGTAATGTTTACTGTATGCTGAGTTTAAGTGCTTTATTTTTATACATTACTCTTGATCCTCACAAGGACTATGTGAAGTAGGCTCCTTATTATCTTCATCTTACAGATCAGAAAACTGAGGCACAAAGAAATTAAATCCTTGCCTAGGGTTTCACAGTAGTAAGTAGTAGAGTTGGGATTTGAACCCAGGCTGTTGAGTCTAGCATGTAGGTTCTTGATAATTGTACTGTACCAGCCCCCCAACTCATCATGCTAATTGTTTCTATTATACTTCCAGTTTTATATAGACCCATATAAGCTGCTGCCATTGCAGAGGTTTTTACCTCGACCTCCAGGTGAGAAGGGACCTCCAAGAGGCGGTGGCAGGGGAGGTCGAGGAGGAGGAAGAGGCGGAGGTGGCAGAGGTGGTAGAGGTGGTAAGTTACCTATGGGGGGAAATTTCTAATGAGATTTAATAAGTCTCAGCCAGCTTATGTAGTACAATTTAATTCTGTATATAGGCAAACTTCCTTTATGTTTAATTTTTTAGTGAAGCTGTTTTCAAATCTTGGCTGATTGCCACAGTAATGATACCTAGTTTCAGTAACTTACTGAAAAAGAAAAAAGGTATTTTGAGGGATTTCATCTCGCTGGGTTATTCATGTTTTGATGAGCATTTTATGAAGTCCAAGATTATCTTAACTGAATTTTAGTTTTTTAGAACATCATTGAGTGGTGATTATATATCAGGAGCTGGTCATTTATTCTTTTAACATCCAAGTATATTCTTTTAATATTTAGCAAAACCTTGTGAGGTTAGGTGATAATCTTTATTATTTGTCCTAATCAGACAATTGGCAGCTCAGAAAAAAAACTCATATCTTATGATATCATGTCAGAGACTGCTACCAATAAATTCCCTGCTTTGATTTCAGTATTTATATATATATATATACACATATACATATATATTTCGCCAGAGTTTGGATATTTTCATCATTATGGGCAGCTGGATGATGAGCAGGGTGGGGGATGAGGGTGGATGCAGCATTGGGTGTGCTTAGATCTGTGACTCGTGTGGTGGGTGAGTGACAGGATGATGGGCAGAGCCAAAGTGGTGAAGGAGAGGGGCTGCAAATTAGGGTTGGACAGTTTCTGATACTGAATCAGGAAAGAGAGAATTCTGCTTTCACTTTTGCCTCTCAGCTGTCATTTCATTCCATAAATGTACCTTTTTGGGTCTGGATAGCTTGGAGGAAATCTCTTAAGAGACACGAACATATTTCTTTCTTAAATGTTTTTGAGGAGTATCCCTTTGAGAATTTGATGAATGGAGATGCCCTCATTCCCATTCTGAATTCAAACTCATGTATACCATTTAAAAAATTTTCACAAGTCTATCAGTCTGGTTTCTTAAAACCTTTTTTTTATATCGGTAATTTGGAAGTATGTTTGTTTCCTCATTTTATAATTTCTTTTTCTATTTTATCATTCTTTACAAAGTTAGCTTCCAAAATAAGTAAAAATGGAGACTGCAGTAGGAAGCCAACTGTGTTGGATGATAGAAAAATGCTTTAAAAACTTAATTTCAAGGCTCATCAGCATGTGAGCATCAGTGATGGTCTGTATGCAGCTCAATTAACCTTAAACATTATATTTATGGTAGTATCCCCAGAGCCAAACCACTCATATCTGCTACTTTTTGTTCTTTTGTTCTTAAGATAAAAAGTCTTATTTCAATTAAAAAAAGTATTTACCATAAGCAAAAGTTGAGGTACTCATATATTTAACAATAGGACTAAATTGAACTTCAAAGTAACAAGCATTTCTAACTTATTAAAACAGAAAACTTGTTTAAAAAATTGTTACCTAGGGTTTTAACCTGCTGCTGTATTGGGAAATTACTATAGAAAAAAAAAACTATCTTTTAAAAAATTCTGCAAGATAAAATATGTGAGTCTCTATTTATAATTGCAAGAATTGTATTGATAGGCTTATTAGATGATGGTAGACTACTGTTATTTAATTAATGTTTCCTTTATTTTTAGGTGGTTTTAGAGGAGGAAGAGGTGGAGGTTTCAGAGGAGGAAGAGGGGGTGGTGGTTTCAGAGGTGAGTGAGAAAAATAATCGTTAAATGACCGACTTTCTAGAAATGGTATTGCCTACCATTTTTAATTTTTATTTCCATTTGCCAGCAAGTATATAGAACACCATGGTGTTCCTTGCTATAGCATAATGTATACCTTCATTTTATATCACTTTTCCCTTTGAATTTTTTTACCCACTTCTGATTTATTTGGCTGTATATTTAATTTGAAAAGCAAAAAAGTATAATATAAGTGACAGTTAAATTTGGTAAAGTAAGTTGGATAATAAACCTTACAAGAACTAATGCTGATTTTAAACTTTTTTGGGTAATAGTGTTATTAAAAATTTACTTTTCTGTACCCTTAATATTTCATTTTCTCTTAATCAGGAAGAGGACATTAAGTGTAACAGTTGACAGAGACTTCACCAGTTGACTTCTGCCTCCATGATATACTTCTGTGGGTCAGAAACTTGTTTCTTGGGCCAGTCCTGAAGAACCGATCACTTTATGACAGTGGAACTCAGATGTCAACATCATGCAAAAACGAGAGCGGCAGAACAGGCAATTTTGCTCTAAAAGAGTATGAATAAGTGTTTTAATGTTTTTACAATGCTTGGAACTGTGTGGGTGTTTAATAAAGGGACCTCTTTCATTTGAAGTATATTTGAATTTTTAAAATAAAGTATCTTATTCCTTTAAGTTATTTAAAGCTGTGTTTATTAAACCAGAGCTATTTTTGAGGTTAAAAGGAACAACCCAGTAGACTTAAGATAGAAAAGATGATTTGTTTACATATATAACTGATCTTTTTAAAAAAATAGGCTAGTGGAGCAGTACTTCAACATTATCTATAAATTAACACTCCCTATCAAAATGTTTGCCTTTTTCATCTGAGAACATCAGTACCCTTTATTGTATTTTCCCTTTTGTGTGTTAGTACATAAATCAAAGTTAGTAAAGCAGCTTCTCTAATTACAATTAATAATTGATTAGAAAATTTCAGTATTGAGTATGACTCTATTAAAGTTGCAACAGCTCTATTCAAGTTGAGAACTAAAAGTCCAAGACATTTCTAAAGAAATATTTAATTTCTCTCACTTAACATAGTTGGAATGTTGAAAGCTTTAATGAATGTTTTAATTTTACCTTTTCTAAGGGACTCGGGTTTAAGATGTTATTCACCGTAAATAAATATTTGATTCCCTGCTGCATGTTCAGATTCCTGGGTAGGGACGTAGCAAGTGAAATTGGTTTTGGTCCTCATTGCTAATGTAGTTTCAAGACGTAGCCATGAAAGCAAGTTAGAATACTGTGATATAGGGTAATTTTCCCTGCCATTAAATTTCCCCCCTTCACGTGTTCATTCTCAGAAAGAATGCTGTTACCATATCTTTTCTTAAATTTTCTAGCATGCTATACCTAATATTTGGTTAACCCCTGATGCTTGTTTGAGTAGCATATAGTATTGCCTAAGTCAGTATTTGGAGTTTTACTTACCCTTTTCGATTAATGGAATTGCAGCAGGATTAATAAATATGTGAGCCATAAAGTATATATAATGAACAAATGTTGAAAATTATTTTTTCACAGGAAAAAGTAATTGTGCTTTTACAGCTTGGGAAAGGAGGCTGATTTAGAATCCTTGGGTTGAAATTTTCAATGAGAGTTAGGGTCAGAGTTTTTACTCTTGGATTGCAAAAGACATAGCACTAGAGTGGCAATGGTATTGTCCCAGGGACAAATAATAGTACAATGTTCCAATGCTTTTTTTTTTAAACATTTAAAAGAAGTGTAAAATGGCTATGATGGAAATAATATACAGGTTGGTAGACAAACCACTTGAGATTTTACTTTTTACTTTAGGTATATGTTTTAGTCATTAGCCATCTTTAAACTTTTATTTCCACATCTTATTTTTCCCTTTTCTTCCTTACAGTGGTTCTTTCTGGGTTTCCTTTGGGGCATTTGATTTTGAATCAAGTTCATATGTTTAGGGAGCCTAAATAACATTAATGCATTTGTACTGTGGTATCACTGAGTTCCATTGTAAAAGACATTTTGATGATTATTCACATATTAAATCTTTTGAGTGGTTAACTTTCTGAATGCTTGCATCATGCCAAAATAAAATGCACTTGTTGCCATAGCATTAAAAAAGTTTAGTGGAATACAACAAGCAATATTTCCTAATATTCCTGAAAATTTGGGAAGAGCTATGAAAGGAGGATTGGCTTTAGGCCAGTTGAAGTTTATGAAATTAAAAGAATCATAAGCTGTGTAAACATGATAAGCTTATAGTTGTGTTTCTTAGTGCTTTGAGCCTCATCCCAGTATCGTTTTTCTGTATCACTCAAGAAGGAAGCATAAAAAAGCACTTTGCACCTACCACATTCATGATCTGTGAAATTTTTTATCTACAGCAAAAAGCTGTCCATCTTTGGAATTATTTTTCTTTATTTCTTATGAATAGAAATAATTATTTCTGGAAAATTTAAGTGGGTGCTACAACTAGGCATAATCTGTTACAGAAAAGGAAGCGGCTATGATCCAGAGCAAACTCAAAACATTTTTGTTTTATTCTATATAGTGAATGCAAAAAAAAAAAGAGAGAGACTTAAAACCCAGTTTTTAAAAGGGAGAGTTCCTCTTAGATTATGTTTATTGCTTTAGGGTCATATGAAAATATTTTGATACTGAAATTCTAATGAGATTCACTTTCTTGGTATAGATGCTCTTCAGAATTACTTTACATTTATAAAAATGTGAATACTAGTAGCTATAAGATCTGGGACAGATCAACCAACCTGGTTCAGCTTCTTCAGTGTATACAAGTATATAGCTGAGAGAACTGAGGCTAAAAGATTATCTTGCGTCTCTTCCTGCTATGCCATTCTAAAAATGTATAAAATTAAATTAAGTGGGTAAATACAGCCCTCTAGTGGTTCTGTGATGTGCTTACACTGTTAACTATGGCACATCTAGCATTTCTCTAAATTACTGATTTTTAAGAAATTCCCTATTGAAAAGGATCAGATTTCTATAATATTACATGACATAACGAACATGAAGGGAAAAGGTGGTAGGGATATCTTATTCTAACAGTAAATGTCCATATCAGATTGTCACTCACTTACGTAACCCACTTTTTGAGTTATAACAAGATAATCCAGAATATTTGAATAGCCCTGTACCTAACAAGGTGGATGACTGAATCTAGATACTTCAATAGGTATATGCTGTGATTATTACCAGAAAGTTATGCATATCAAAGTGTAGGATAAATTAACTGAGGTGGATTGTGAAGTAGATCATGCTGTATCCATGCTTTGAAATACATAGCTATTACTTAGATTTAGGTTTATTGACCTGGAATTTATGGTTTGGCTTTAGGGTAGAACAAATTACAGAATAATTTTATGTATACATATCTCCTCATTTTTGAAAAGAATAGAAGTGAAAAGAAAGTAGAGGAAACCTCTGTTATATGAATATATGTTGTATAAGCAAACTAAAGCATAAAGAATGTACACCAGACAATATTATAGCGTTTAGGGAAGTGAGATTTGGAAGGATGGGGGGATTAACTTCTTTACTTATCTCTAATTTAAATTGTTATGGAAAAAAACAGGAGGAACTGAAATAGAAAACTTGAAAGGGTCAACAGAAAACAGTGACCTTAATCTGAATAGTTTTGGAGGGCTAAGGCTGGCTCTTAATATCAGAACTGATTTCCAGCAGAAATCAGTTAAATCAGGTCCTGCACTGATTTTCTGAGTTTGTTTATTGTTTAAATGGGATGTGTGCACTTGAAAAGCTCCTTAGATATAAGGCTGATTCCCAAACTAGTTAAAATATGTGGTGCTTGGTATTTCTCTTCATTTTGCTAATAAGCTTTTCCCTTGTCCTGGGAATTAAAATCCTTTCCTCTTTAGCCCAATTAAATTTGTTAAGGGAGGGCCTCTATTAAAAGGCCCTTCTTTGAGGTCTTTAAGTGGAAATGATTGGTTCTGAAAATTCTTCCCTCAGTGGCTTTTAAAACATTTCATAGACACTGAAGGCTCATTATGAAGGTTCTCTCAATATCTTCCCTCCGAAATGCTAAGGAATAATTTAGGCAACAGTTCAGACTCTAAAAATGAATATGGCTCGGTCTTTTCACAGGCTGAACACAATATTGTTGCAGCTTACTTGATTACAGCAGGTATGGATGTTTACTCCATTAATAGTCATTTTGCTTTCTAATGAGTGAAGAAAAGCAGAGGTTTTCAGCATAAGCTAGTAGAAAAAGCATGGGTTCAGAGATAATGTTTCAAGTTCTATATTGTTGGCCAAACTGGACAAGTCACTTACCTTTTTTTGAGCTGGGGTTCATGTGATGAGTAAGGATAATACTTGCTCTATTTCCCAGCTATAATGATCGAATAAGGGAATGTAGGTGAGAGGATAGATGAAAGAATTGTTAATGGTGGTTAATGTCACAAGTTATTTTGAATTTTGATAAACAGCAGTGAAGTGGGGCTGAGAAATGTTTTATATAAAATGAATAATTTTTATGATCATATATTTGGTTATTACATTGTCAAATTTTTACTGGGGAAGAGTGTGCTCCATGGCAAAAATGTATTTTTATGGCATTTCATGTTCTCACACATACTTTCTGTGGTTTTGTCCTTGGTGGTAGAATCTAGTTAAGATTGAAAGATCCTGGAAAGGAAATTAAAGTTGTAAAAAGAGAGAGCCGAGTGTATTGTCAGGACAAGGTTTGAAAATTCAGCTCATTTTCAAGTGCTGTATTGGAAAACTCCTGAGCTTTGTATTTAATCTTTTAGTATCTTTGCACCAGTGAGCCAGTTCCTTCATCTTTTTATTTTTCCATTTTCATATCTGTAAAATGAGAATAAGAATAAGCTACCTGTCACAATTGTTGTGAAAAGTAAAATAATGCACAAATATACCTAAATGATATATATAGTGGATGTTGGGTAAATATTTGTTTCTTTCCTCCCACCTACACACATTCAATGATGCATATATTGGATTAAGAAAAAGGCTGTTTGCTGAAGAAAAGGGATGGGGAAAATGAGAGTGGAAGTTCTCTGATTATCTTTTTTATGTATAGGTTGAATTGTAGTCTTAATTTTATCTTAATTTTATGCTGAGCAGACACTTCATTTTCAACTTTATGCTCAATAATGAGTTTTAGAAGCAACTCTTATATTGGGTTTATTATTATTTTTGTATTGAGTTATGAAAATTTTCAAATATGTTCAAAAGTAGAGTAAAAGTATAACAGATCCTACTGTACCCAGTTTTTTTTTAAATAATTGCTTAGTTTTCCCGTAATTCACAGTTAGAGTATTGTCTGTGCTAGAAATTACGGTTCCTCAGTTAATTTTTGTAAATTTTAATGACATGCAAACTTTTTAAAAAAATTGAAGTATAGTTGATTTACAGTGTGTTAGTTTTTGTTGTACAGCAAAGAGATTCAGTATTGTGTGTATATATATATTATATATATATATAAAATATATGTGTATATATTTTCATATTATTTTCCATTATGGTTTGTTACAGGATATTGAATACAGTTCCCTGTTCTGTACAGTAGGACCTTGTTTATTATCTATTTTATATGTAGCAGTGTGTATCTGCTAATCCCAAACTTCTAATTTATCCCTCCTCTACCCCTTTTCCCCTTTGGTAACCGTAAGTTTGTTTTCTATGTCTGTGAATCCATTTCTGTTTTGTAAATAAGTTCTTCTGCATCATATTTTAGATTGCACATATGAATGATATCATATAATACTTGTCTTTTTCTGACTTACTTAGTATGATAATCTCTAGTTCTATCCCTGTTGCTGCAAATGGTATTATTTCATTCTATTTTATGGCTGAGTAGTATTCTATTGTATGTATATACCACATCTTTATCTAGTCCTCTGTTGATGGACGTTTAGGTTTCTTCCAGTTACATGCTAACTTTTTCAGTTGAATACCTGTGTATGATAATACCAGCACTAGACAAATTCTGTTTTCTTTTGATTGTTTTTTGTTGTTGTTGCAACAAAAAGGAAAAAATAGGTACTTAAAGAGGTAATCTCCATGTCACAATTACATAGGAATATTTTGTATACAAACTTTTGATTTAGTTAATTTTTGTTAGTTTGTGGTAGAGGACCAAGAAAAGCGATCTCTTTTGATCTGGTTACAAAAAGATTTCCTGTTAAGAAAACATTCTCTCTTGTTCTTAGTCCTATAATAGTCATTGTGGTCTTACTGTAACAACAACTACTACTACGACTACGACCAAGACCACCACTGCTGCTGCTGCTACTACTAATGTTATTATTTGAATACTTGGTATATACCAAGCACTGTTCTAAATATTTACACGCATGGAATAATTCACCTTTATACTAATTCAGTTAGTGAATTAGTTTTGTTTTCCCTGTTTATACAGATGAAGAGCTTAAATAAGTTGCCCAACATGCACATCTACTAAGTAGCTACACCAGGATTTGAACTTAGATATTTTGGTTCTGGAGCCCTCACATATATCCACAAGTGTCAATTTTATCAATACCATGAGTATGTATTTGTGTTTTTAGTAGATGAACTGAAGGGAGCACATCTAACCTCTTCATGTTTTTATTTAAACATTTATTGTACTTTTGGCCCCTTAGCCCCCTGCCCCCATATAACAAAGCTCACTTAAATCTCCAAATCAAAACCAAAACTATGAGATAAAGAGTTTAGTCAAAGCATTCATTTCATTTATTACTTTTACGGAGAGCCTTTTTAGATTTTTCATTTTAAATTTAATTTTTAATTTAATATTTCTCTTAGATTTTAGCTCTTACAAACTTCTACCATCCAAACTCTGTTTCTTTAGTTAAGGCCAGGGTCCAAGAGGGCATGGTGAGTTAAGGATCTGAAATAGATTTATTGTGGATGAATTGTAGAATGAAGGGTAAGAGAGATTAGGCTGGGAGGATAACTCCATACCAGATAATAAACAACCTAAGCTGTAAAGGCAATAGGGGTCACTGAATGACATGATCCAATTTGCATTTTAGAAATGTGCTGTAGTCGTAGCTAGGAGACCATGTAGGAGGCTACTGTGTGATTAAGAAGGCTCCTGAGGAGGAAACAGTGACAATGGAGACAGAAAGAAGTAGACACGTTGAAGAGCTAGACGTTAGAATTGATGGCTGGATGTGGAGACTAGGGAAGAAGTGAAGGAGCATCAAAGGTGACAACTAGGTTTCTTTCCTGGGTTGCTGGTTAGATGGTAAAGCTATTCACCGAGATGGGAAAACACTTGGGGAAGAACAGATTTGGGGCAGAAGAGAAAATCTCTGAGTTCATTTGGAGAGAAGTTACATAGAAAGCTGGACACATGGGTTTAAATTTCATGAGATTGATCTGGAAAGTATCAGAATATAACTTTGGATATGTATGAAGTCACTCAGTGTATGTTGAATGTGAAAAGAAGGAGGTCTAGGGCAGAAGCTTGTCTAGGGCAATGCATGTATTTAATAAGGTAGAGATGAAGAAAAAAGGCCAGAAAGTAGATTAATGAAGGATCTGCCAAAGAGATTGGAGGAAATCCACAGAAGCCAAGGGGGAATTAACTGAATTTAGACCTAACTATAAATGATCTCTGGTTTACTCATTAGGAAACACCTACAGCTAGAAAATAAAGCAGAGTGCTTGAGACAGTTGCAGAGCAAATAGAGAAAAGGGCTAAATTGTTTATCTTGTTCCCCTTATTATATCTAAGACCTCCCCAAAGTACAGTTACTTTATTCTGGTTGCATCCTTGGTAGGCAACAATTTACTGCACTGTGTTTTTACTTGAATTTTTAAAATCATCAAATTTATAGCTAGCCCAGAAAGATTCTTTAATTCATTAAGCTTTTTGGAGCTACAATATTAGATGCAAAAAATTGAGCCAAAGAATCATCAAATTTGCTGTCATTGTGCCAGATTATGCTTGTAAGAATAATAGATACTAAGCAACATGAATTTTAGTTGTTGTCTGTTTATTAAATAAATTTATTATATGTCACATACTCAACATGGAAGTTATTAGAAGCCTGAAAGCTACATGAGAAGACTAGGAATATGTAAGAGTTAAGTAATATAGCATCATGTAAGATAAAGTGTATAAAAACAAGTACTTTGAGGATTTAGAGAAGAGAGATCACTGTGGTAGGACAAGCCTTTGGGGTAGAATTGGGCTTGAACAGAATTTTGAAGATGGGTAGCATTTGGATAAGTAGAAGAAAGGAGTAGGGTGTTCTAAGCAGGAGAAAATAGAAGTTGAAATTTACCACAAACCTGGTGTATTTGATAAATCACTAGAGTGGAGGGCTTGTTTGACAAGTGTGGAAATTTGCTTAGGGTGAAAACAGATTGGAATATCAAGCTGGGACATGTGGACTTTTATCCCCCAGACATTGGGGAGTATTGGAGGTTTTGAGGGAAAGAGCTTTGGTTAATTTTATGTTGCAGCGAGCATATTCTGCCAGCAGCACAGGAGGAAAGAACAGAAATCTGGAAGATTAGGTTAATAAGATGCTAAACCGAAGTTTTGACCAAAGTGCCAAGATATAGAATAGAAGTTCTTCCTTAGCTGACACCTTTGTGTGTCAGTGCTTGGAAACCTTCCCTCTCTCCGGCAATAGTTGGGGGCTGCTCCACCAGAGTTCTCTTCATGCTGGTGAACACAACTCTGTTCCTTTTGTTGCTTACCGCTCCTTTAGCCCATAGGAATCTGGTAATGACTCTAGCCTCTCTCAGCTCAAATCTATTCATCCCCCATCCCCAGCATTAGGACCTAGTATGGCCCACATCTGGTTTATGGGAAGCATATGCATCCTTTTTTGTATATAGGGGTTAATTAGTCAGGCACATCCAGTCCACTCAGCAATTTCTTTTTGTAAATTAATACACTGGCATTCAGATTAAGAAGTTCAGTCATCAGTCTACTTGAATCCAGCCACTTCTAGGGCACAGACAACATTCAGTTTCTGGACCCGCAGGGCTAAGAATCAGATCCCAGGTTGTGAAGACTTGACTAGGGTGATATCACCTGTGAGGCTTCTCAGTGGACTTGAAAGCCAGCTTTGACTTCCTCTCTGGACCAAACCTTGCAGTGTGCATTCTTCTATAGAGGAGTGTGTGTATGTGTGTGTGTGAGATGAAGAATTCAGATTTGAACATGTTGAGTTTCAAGTTTAGAACATCGTATGATCTTACATATCATAGATGCTCAATAAACGTTTAATGGTAATAAGTTGTATGAAAAGGGATGTGGGATAGGAGCATGGATCAGGGCTAGAAAGTGACAGAGAGCTGTTAGGACAACTGAGACTTGAAAAACTATAGAGAAAGAAGAGCCTCAGGCATCAGGAAGGAGGAGGAGGGAATTAAGCTGCCAAAGGCGATTGTATGATCATACATACATCCTAAAAATGTCTAAAAATCAGCAGTGGTAGTATTATGAAATGCAGAGGAGGAATTTCAAGGACAGAGTGATCTGCAACTGGCAGATTCTTTGTGTTTTAATTTTTATATTTCTATTTCACAAAAGAACTGTGAAGATATTACAACTAGTTTTACAAACAGCTGGAGCTCTTCAAATAAGTAAACCAAAATGGATTTGCTGTGTTTTTGAAGGAGCTTAAATATTTGTGAAAAAATACTTTTACAAGTTCAAATTAACAAAGTGTGTGATTTTTGTTTGTTTGTTTGTATTCTCAGGTGTGATAAGTATTCTCAGCAACATAATAGTTTTGGGCATCTTCGTTAAGTACAAGGAGCTTCGGACACCCACAAATGCAATTATCATTAACCTGGCTGTTACTGATATAGGGGTCAGTAGCATTGGCTATCCCATGTCTGCTGCTTCAGATCTGTATGGAAGTTGGAAATTTGGATATGCAGGATGTCAGGTATTGGGGATCTTAAGAATCAAAGCAAAATAAAGTAGATTAAAAAGATGTAATTTGTGTCTTCAAAAAATTCCAAGAGTTTCAATCAAATAAGATCACGTAGGATAACAGATACGGTGTCCTCTGAAAATTTCCGGGGTGACTCGGAAATACATTCTTTAACAAGAGAAATGAAATCACTAGCCATAATAGTTTCAAAATTTCCCCAATCCAAAGGAAAAAGACTAAACTAACAAAAAATTAGCACTCACCTAGAGAAGAAAAGTGAACATATGCATATTCAAATAAAAACTTGTGTGTTGCAAATTCAAAAAGAAATAACGCTGCTTTCATTTGAAATAATATTTAATGACTATATCATAATGTATAAGTAATGTAGTTAAACTACGAATTGCTGACTTTTTCCTATGGAAGTTTCTCCATGAGAATTCCTATTAAATATATCCATGAGTTTTACTGACAAGAAAATAAATTAATGTTAAGTTGCATTAATGACTTGGCCTTTTTTTTTTTAACAGCTTGCCATTTTAAGCTATATATAGAGGGTAAGATGAGAGAACGAGAAAATAATGAATGCCCATGTGTGCACCAACCAGTTTTGTCAAATCTAACGTTTTGCAATATGTGCTTCAGATTGCTTTTTTTTTAATAGTATAAAATTTTACAGATACTGTTGAAGTCTGTTGCATACCATCCACAATCTTACTCCTTTCTCTCTCATGAATGTTTTTCCATCTTACTACATATTATATGTTCATAAACTTGACACTGTCTGAATGTTTTGAATTTTGTATAAATAATATCATATTGTTTGCATTATGCTATTTTCTTCTATTATCCAATCTTATGTTTTGAAGTATATGCATGTTGATGCATATAGCTGTAAGTCACTCATTTTAACTGCTACACGATATTCCATTTTATGAACATATACATGTATTTATTCATTTTCCTAATATTGATCATTGTTCCCATTTTTTAAATCACAAATAAGGTTTCAATAAATGTTCTTATGTATGTCTCTTTCTGCAATATGTGAGAGTTTCCTTAGGTACATTACTAGGAGAGGGATGGTTTGGTTTGTAGATAATGTTCATCTTGACCTTTATCAAATATGACCAAATTGCTCTCCAAAATAATTATGCCAATTATGAGAACCTGTGTTACTCTACATTATCGCCAGTGCTTGGGATTGTCAGACTTTTAAATCTGTAGTAAAATAGTATCTTATAATTTGCATGTTTTGAATATTTAATGTGGTTGTACATCTTATATCATAAACACTCAGATTTCCTCTTGTATGAATAGCCTGTTTTTCTGTTTGTCTTTTCCCCCTGTTGAATTGTCTATCTTGTGAAACCTAGTCTTTTGTTGGATATGTACTGCACCTAATTTATGGCTTGTTTTTGCACTCTTATAGAGTATGTATAGAAGTTTTACTTTAAGTCTTGATATTTTCTAAGAAGTTTGATTAGTGAAGTCCCAAAATATTTTTTATAAATCCCTTTATTGAACAACTTAACATTTAACAATAGATGTTGTATTTTTAAATCAGTAAAAAAAAAATTCAGTGTATTTTAAATATATTCTAGCAATGGGATGTAAATTTCTTTTGGGAGGGTGTGCAGAATGGTGGATTCTTTCCAATTTTGATTTTCAGATTTATGCTGGCTTGAATATCTTTTTTGGAATGGCAAGTATTGGATTGCTCACTGTTGTGGCCATGGATCGATACCTGACCATTTGCCGTCCTGATGCAGGTACAGCACTTCTGTTAGCTTTCCCTTAGTTTTCTTAGTGAACCCATTTCTTGTCCAGGTACCACTCAACACACATTCACTTTAAATGTAAATGTGATGGCTTACAGCCATGGTCAGTCTCTGATAATCCTTGATTAGAAGTTTCAATGATTCCTATTAAACCTAGAATAAAATTTAAATTTTATGACACAGCCTCCAAGGCCCCACATGACCGGGCCCCTGGCTGCCTTTCCAGCATGGTCTAGGATCCTCTCACTTTGGGGTGTTTGTAGATGCTATTTCCCTAGGCCTGGAAAGTTCTTCTCCTGGCCAGTCCTCTGGCTGATCTTTTTTATAAATTCAGGTTTCAGCTTAAAGGTCTTTTTTTTTTTTTTCCAGAATGTGAGTTCATGTAGATAGGCTTTGTGTGAATTAGAGTGCTCTGCAAAGAATCTACTTGATAACAACTTTGAATCATCAGTTAAAACAAAATGAAGATATGAATCTCATCATTGGGAAATGACTCTAAAATTCCATGTTTGTTTATAGGAAGAAGAATGACCACAAACACTTACATCAGCATGATTCTGGGGGCCTGGATCAATGGCCTCTTTTGGGCTTCAGTGCCTATCATTGGGTGGGCTGGTTACGCCCCAGATCCTACTGGGGCCACCTGCACCATAAACTGGCGGCAAAATGATGTGTAAGAGACATGTTTACACTTTTTAATCAAATGTTTCTAATGTAGACATTTCTCACCATTTCAAATTAAAACTCAGATCAATTGTTTCTTATGCAGAATGTGGCAAATGGCTTCCTTGGTACAGACGATGTGATTCTAGCCAAAGATGAGTTGAGAAAAGTAAATTACGCTTGTTGGCAAGGAAAGGTCATCCAGCTCCCCTTGTCCCCCTGCTCTGTTCCTTCCTCTCTCCCTTCTTGCAGAGAAGGGGGTGCAGAGCATCCTTCTGATGTCTGCACCTTAGAGGTAGAACCTGAGGGGTAAAAAGAGTGTTAGTGGAGCTAGACAGTGTGCAGAAAGCCCAGATCACTAGATGATCTGGTGATAAAGCATCTTCCGAGAATTATGCAACAAAAGCACTGTCACTGCAAAGATTTGCTTGCTTATTAGTGATGCTCTTCCGTGTTTACCAGGGAAAGGGGAATAATTTAGTTCATTAAAGGAAATGAAAGATGACTCAGAGAAACAAATACAAAAATTTCTAACTCTCGCACTAAATCTAAATCTTAAATTTTTTCTGTGCAGAGTCGAAAAATAAGCATTTTAGGCTTTACAGGCAAGACTATCTCCATTGCAGCTCTTCACCTCTGCCTGTGAAAGCAGCCATAGGCAGTATGTAAATGAATGTGGTTCCAATAAACTTTTCTTTACAAAGAGAGGCCACAGGCTGGATTTGGCCCACAGGCTAGAGTTTGCCAACCCCTAGTCCAAATGAACTAAAAGTCAAATGTACTTTCTAAGCTATTTAATAATATAATGACTGCTGGGCAGTGCCAGTATAATTTCTGATAATTATTCTGTTTCCCTTCCTCTATTTATTTAGTATATTGAACGAGTAGTGATTTAATTATTTCCTTTTTAAATTTTCAGATCTTTTGTTTCTTACACCATGATGGTGGTTGCAATCAATTTTATTGTGCCCTTGATAGTGATGTTTTACTGCTATTACCATGTCACTCGATCCATTAAATGTCGTGCAACTAGTAACTGCACTGAGTACCTCAACAGAGATTGGTCAGATCAGGTAGACGTAACAAAGGTAAGACATTCAAATCCTTAAAAAATATTTGCGCTCAAGCTTTTCCACGAACGTGGTTCCTCGACCCCTGTAGTCACCTTCCCAACCCTCGATTCTTACTCTCTGGCCCTTTTGTCTGGTGTTTGCCATCATGTTTCATAATCATGTGCTTATCTGATGTTTTGGGGTTTTTTTTCCTGTTATTTCTTGATTTCCGGAGATAGACAAAGGGAATTTCTCTTATACCACCAACCTTTCTTCTCATCTTGTCAGTGAAATGTTAGTGTTTGATTAGATGAAGAGTCTTTACATTATTGTGATTATCTAGATTTTATTTATTACAGATCTCTGTAGGGCTCTATGATTTATATTTCTTTTTATATATAACTTTTCTCCCCTTGGAGTTAATCATTCATTCCTTTTCTCTTTCTTTCTCTTCTTCCCTCCCTCTCTCTCCCCTCCTCTGAGCTTTGTTTGCTGGCTGTTCTGTGTACCTGTCACTAATTCACGTCTAAACTCTCCACCAGTCTCCTCTTAGTATTTTCAAATGCATCAGGGACTAGACTGACTTTATCCTTTCCTTGGAGCTAGCCTCCTGAGACCCCCAGATCTCTTGCTCTCATTGGCTGTTCTTTAAGAGAACTACCCAGGAATCCTCACATCTCCTTTACCACCAGCTGGGACTGTCTCCTTGGTCAGATCGCCTGTTTTCTGGATTGCATGGCTTCCTTTTTCTTGGTTTACTCCCTCATATTTGGTAGAATACATTCTGGAGTAGAGTCCTGAGAAAATTGTAGGAAAATAAAGTTTTTAAGATTTCACACCCCTGAAAATGTCTTAATTCTATCGTATTTGACTGATTGTTTGCTTGGTGTGGAATTCTAAGTATAAAAATGATGTTCAAAGAATTTTGAAGGCATTACTCTATCATCTCCTGGCTTCTGGTGTCACTGTTGAAAAGGCTGATAGCATGATGGTCATCTGCATTCCCTCTAGAAGCTTGTGATTTTTCTCTGTGTCTCTAGTTTTCTGAAATTTCATGCTGATGTGTTTTGGTGTTGCTCTTTATTCACCCATGTGCTGGGTACTGGGTGAGTGCTTTCCACATAGACACTCAGATCTTCCCTTCTGGGAGCTTCCTTGTATTATTTCTCTGGTGAGTTTCACCTCCTATTTTGTCTTTTTCTGTTCTCTTTTCCTGGAACTCCTTTTATTTGGGTATTTAATCTCCTGGATTTATCTTCTAATTTTCTTAAATATTCTCTCCTACATTATCTCTGTTTCTGGTTTTGTTTGTTTTTGTTTCTGTTTTCTGAGAGATTTCCTCAACCATGTCCATGTCTGGGATTGAGAAGACTGGGGCTCAAGCCTGGGGTGCAAAATTTAAGCAGGCACCAAAAAACTAAAGAAAAATAGTAGTTAATGCAGTATTTTTTAAAAAAATCAAAATTTATGTAAAAGATCTATATTGAACAAAATGTAAAATATTACATAACGATAGGCTATGACTCTGCACTCGCACAATTGGCCTCATTTACCTCACCCTAAAGCCTGGCTGACCATACATTTCAACCTTCCTGTTGCATTTTAAAAATTCTGCTTTCACTTTTATAGGTGAGATAAAAAGCATTATTTTATTTAAAATTTTTTTTCTTTTTAAATTGAAAGATAGTTGATTTACAGTTTCAGGTGTACAGCAAAGTTATTCAGTTATACATATGTATATAAATTATTCTTTTTCAGATACTTTTCCATCATAGGTTATTACAAGATATTGAATATAGTTTCCTGTGCTATACAGTAGGACCTTGTTGGTTATCTATGTTATATATGTTAATCCCAAACTCCTAATTTATCCTTCCGCACCCTTTCCCCTTTGGTAACCATAAGTTTATTTTCTATGTCTATGAGACTATTTCAGTTTTGTAAGTAAGTTAATTTGTATACTTTTTAAAATGATTCCACATATAAGTGATATTATATGATATTTGTATTTCTCTGTCTGACTTAATTCGCTTAGTATGATAATCTCTAGGTCCATCCATGTTGCTGCAAATGGCATTATTTCATTCCCTTTTATGGCTGAGTAATATTCCATTGTGTATATATACCACATCTTCTTTATCCATTCATCCATTGATGGACATTTAGGTTGTTTGCATGTCTTGGCTATTATAAATTGTGCTACTGTGAACATTGGGGTGCATGTATCTTCAAATTAGAGCATTATTTTATATACTATACTTCTTTTTGATAGCCTCCTCTTGTTTAATGCATGTGTGTCATCTCTCATTTCTGTGATGATATTGTATATATATTTATTTTCCTTCTGTTCATCACAAATTTTTTGTTTCCCCTGAGTTCCTGAACCTTTTGGTCTCTACATGTCAGTTTGTATGTTTCCTCATTATCTGGTCATTAATGACTGTCCCTGCATATTTAAGATTGATGCACTAAAAAGCTGATTGTAAGTTCTGGATGTGCTCTTTTGCTGGGATATGTCTTGTGAGTGGGGGGATTTCTGATGATCTGTATCTGGGTATTTTCTTCTGGGCTGGTCAGTTTACAAGGAGAAGATTGACCTTCCTGGGTGGGAGGTACAAGTATATCCACCCACATTCTCATGGTTCAGTGCCAGGAAGGGGCAGCATGCAGCACCCCTCTTTTCAGAACAGCACTCCAGCTCTCAGCCCAGCCCAGCCCATGAGCTTCCTTGCTTTGCCCTCTTACTGACCCTCTGGGGTTCTTCAGGGGAGAAGGGGCAGTTCCTTGGCTGAATAGGGAGGGGATTCAGAAGTCTAATTGCTGCTTTTTGCAGATTTCAATGAATTTTTATGTTTTAGATTCCATATGTAGCCCCGCATTCAGAGCTGTCGACTCCAATTCCTGAGACTTCTGTAGTTCTGAGGAATGATTAGCTTGTCTCTGATTTTCCCTCATTCCTGGGAAATTTTTTTTAAATTTGTTTTTAAATCATTCATGTCTGATAAGGAATGTGCCACTTGTCCAATGGTTATTTGGTTTAATTCTTAGAAAGCTTTTGTCTAATCTGTGATTCTCAGATTTTATGGATTTGTGTCTTTTTATACCTTTTCTATCATTTTAGTCGGCAGTCAGAAGGCAACAATGTAAAATTACAATTTTTCATTTAAACAAAATGCAAAGGGAGCTCATTTACAAAACTATCTGCACTGTATGTATTATACATCATTTATTATATATTGAGCTCAAATGGCTTGTATTAGAATTCACTGAACTCAGTATAGGACTTTTTTTCCCCAGATTGATTTTAGAAAGTTATTTTTTAGATTAGCAGATGACAGTGAGAAAAAAAGCACAATACCACTAGTCTGCAATTACTGGAAGTGGGCTAGGAGTAGGTTCATCTGCCTCTCATCAAAGCTAGCTTTTGCATTCTGCCCTAGCTCACCAAAAGAAAGAGGGCATTCTTTACATTTGTGTAACATTCTACCCATTTCACAAGTCCTTGTTATCATAGATGACTTTGGGCACGTAAGCAAAGTGCAATGAGGGGAAAAAGTCAGTATTTCCTTTATGTCTTCAATGACATACACGTAAGTTCCAATCTAGATAATTTTTCACACAGCTTTAGATATAGTAGCTATTTTGATATTTTAGGTATTGGGCTTGGCGAATATTGATTTCTTTTACAGATGTCTGTGATAATGATACTCATGTTTCTGCTGGCGTGGTCCCCTTATTCCATCGTGTGCTTATGGGCTTCCTTTGGTGACCCAAAGAAGATTCCTCCCTCCATGGCCATCATAGCTCCACTGTTTGCAAAATCTTCTACCTTCTACAATCCCTGTATTTATGTGATTGCTAATAAAAAGTAAGTCAGGTCTAAAATGCTTCTCAATTTAAAAAATATATATATATTATATATACAGAAAGAATGTTAAAAAGGCAACAGATAATGTTCTAAAAGTTTTAGGGAGGTAAATAACAGAAACTCACTTCAAACTAATGTAGAAGTTATTTGGTTCATGAAACTAAAGCAGCATTTAGGATCTTAAATGTCTAGGGCTCCAGTTCTGTGACAGGCTCTTCCCACGTGGAGGCAAGATGATCACGGGTAACTTACGACCCAAGTTCTGCCAGCTAAGCATCCCCAGATGCTTTCATCTCAGGGGGCTCTCTGGCAGAAAAGACCCTGGAAGGTTGTTGGTGAGCTCGGCTTGGTTCATATGTGTACCCCATTTGAAACACGTGGAGTTGGTTTTACAAAGAAGAGTGGTTCCATTACTGGAAAATGGACAAGGCGAGGCAATGTGGGACTCCCTAAGTTGGTAGCATAGCTGTATATTTACTAGAAGGAAGACATATCATTCAAATCCAAGAGAGAAATGCAGTGCTAACATAAAGGGCTTCAGGAGTATGTAGTCATTCAGAATATTCGAGATTCTTCCCCTTCCACCTTTGTGGAGACTCTCAGCAAGAATTTCTTTCCTGCCTTCTCAGTGAAGCTTAGACTACTTCATTTCCTGTTGCTTTTTAAAGATGGAATGAACCAATCTACTGTGCTTAAATATTTGACCAGAAAAGTCTCAGTAGAGGTGAAGTAATTTGATCTGGGAATGCCATGCTGCTTCTATTAAACTTGTGTATTTATGCACATGTTTGGGAAAGCAGCTTTAGCTACAGGTACATGCAGAAACATAAAAACTTTTAATTGCAAACAGACCACATAAGAAGAATAAAGAACACATTTAAAATTCAGAGTCTATTGGTAATTCTTTTGGAAAGGTCAGTTATTCTCAAGCCTTAATTTAAACTAGGCTTTTGCTCAGAACAAATGCTTGAAATACATGTCCTTAGTTCAAATAAATAACTCCTTGCAATTGACATTAGAAGCACCATCCTAAACAGACATAATTATTGATGTTTATTGAATGTCTTCAACGTTTAGGGGGAGGGTATAGGTCAGTGGTAGAGCACATGCTTAGCATGCACAAGGTCCTAGGTTCAATCCCCAGTCCCTCCATTAAGATAAATAGGTAACTAAACCTAATTACCTCCTCCCACCAAAAGATTTCAAAAAATAAATAAAATAAAATATTTTTTAAAATGTCTTCAATGTTTATAATCAGTGGTGCAAAATTGGTCTTTAACTGTACCATATACTTCACACGTTTATAAAAGGTCTCAACAGGAGATGTTCAAGTTGGAGGCAGAAATTTATTTGGAGATGCCAATTGGCAGTAGTGGCACCTTAGCCATATTTGAAACTTCTTCAAAAGTTCCAAGTCAATATGGGATAATGCCAGATATTCCCTTTTTTATTGTAGGTTTCGGAGGGCAATGCTTGCCATGTTCAAATGTCAGACTCACCAAGCAATGCCCATGACAAGTATTTTACCAATGGATGTACCTCAAAACCCGTTGACTTCTGGAAGACTCTGAAATAAGAGGAAAGCACACATTATCAAAACATTTTCTTTCCTTTTTTTTTTTTTGCAATGGTTTAATTTCATTTTAAATATAAGCCCATTTTTATCAAATGCAGACATAGAGTATTGTCCTAATAGACTAAAACTTCCTCAAATGTAGTTTATAGTTATTCTGTTTGTGCATTGGCAATTATCAACATACTATTTAACAAAAATAATTGAATGAATATTAAGCACTATTACTTTTGAATCACATGTCAGTCAATGCACATACATATTTTATATAGCAGTATAATCTGCATACTATTATATACTCTGCATTTTAGTTACCATTTTTATGTATATGTATTTCCACATATTTGGCACTAGAATTAAGTTTAATCAGAGTGGGAGTTTTTATATGTTTGTTCTTTTTTTCCCTTTTTTTTATTTTATTAATGAAAAATTAATCAATAATCTATGTAAGAAATAGATGGAAAATTTTGTTCAAGCCAACCTGAAGATTACAACCCAGGAGACAGTCTTTCAGAAAGCTCTGGGGACTGTTCCGGAGAGGAAAGCAGGGAGGCTACTACTGATGTGCAATCCAGCACACATCTTGGTTGAAGGCTACACGAGGAACAGTTATCTTAGTTAATGCTTTTAGTGCTTTTCTAAGTATGGAAACATGCAAGAAACTGGGTTCATAAAATTTTCTCCTGAAAATACTTGTCTGAGGGCCAGTTCTGCCTGTTTTCCCAGAACACAAAGTGTCTCATTCTGATCTTCACCCTGGATTCTTTTCGGGGTGTGTTGTAGGTCAGTGACAGCAGTGGGTAATGACTTGATTCTTGTTAGAATACGATAATGGGCAACTTTCTTTATTTTATAATCCCCTCTCTTTTGATTATAATTTTGACCAAAGTTTGAGAGGCATTTCGTGACCAATTTGTCCCAGGGTGCTAAGAATGCTTACTCCCAGGTCGGGCGACAATTTGGTTGATAGGCTCCTTTGTGAGCTATTACTGGACTAGGCTCTGTTAATGGTAACCAAAACCAAACGGTCCGCTTGTCTTACTGGTCTGCTATGGTCCAGGGACTGGTTCCTGCTTGTTGCTTCTTCCCATGTCTAAAGTTACACTATTGCAATCTTGCTCTTATAGAACTATGTATTTGGTCAATTGTTTCAAGTTTTCTAGTTATCATTATTTTTAATCAGAGGCTCAGTCACACATGTGGTAGCTTTGTATCCCTAGGACTTAGTTCAGTGCTTTGCACAAAGTATTTGCTCAGTAAGTATTTGATGAACAAATGAATTATGCAGAACCTGAAAATCCACAGGATTTTATTTTGAGAAAATTGTTTTGATTCTGTTGTTTCTATATGCATCCTATTCGTTTTAAGTAGTATTTCCCATAATATTTTTCTCTTTATAGAATTAATTTTCTTTAGAAAAAAGTTTTTGGTTTAAAGATGATGAATAGAACTACCCCCAAAGAAGATTAAATGCCTTATATATTTATAAACTTAATCCTTGACTGTTCCTGTGGATGCTCTATGCTATGTGTATGGAGGTAGTTTTTAAAATATTTAATTTAATTTTTATTTTCAGATAGAGCCTGACATGAGAGTTGAGCTTTGGGTTTGATTGCCTGTAACTTGGGCAGCTAGCTTGAAATAAAATACATTCTTGAACAGAGATAATGGCCTTCATTAAAAAATAGATGTATTGGGATGAACCTGCACTGCACAGAGATGACCTGGGAGAAATGCAGGATGCACTCTCACTAGAGTCTTAGTGCTGCCAATTCAGTGGTGGATTGAGGCATCTTGCCTAAAAACATCTAGGTATTAGACTTTGCTTAGTTTGCTGTTGGGGCTAGCCAGTATGTGGCAATATAAATTACTCTAAATCAATTTTGTCATGTGTTTCTATCTTTAAAGCTAAATTTCATAAAACTGAATATTATGAATGACAGTAAAAAGCAAAAAGTAAAATTTATCATGTTATAACATGCAAATAATCTACAGCATTTTCTAACGTCTGCTAAGACATTGAATTATTTTGAACATTATGTGTATCTTCAAGGTATCGTAGCAATTACATCCATAGGAAAGAGATATAATAGGCATTTCTTTGAAAATCTAGGTATGGGCAACTATGGTAATTTTCCTGACACGTGTTTGATGTTCATTTCCCTTAAAATATGTTACTTCTGAACTCACCGCGAAACCAGATTCAAAGGCTAGGTCGATTGATCCGCTGCAAGATACACTTGAAGGTTAAGTAACTACAGATCTCAGCTAATCCTGTGTAATCTGCTGTTGCTAAATGGCCGTTTGTGTTCCTGGCACACCAGTTTCTGAATGCTTAGGATTTGGTTTTTACCTTTTGTCCAAATAACCTCTAAAAGGAGCCATGCGTCTCTTTGCAAGTCTGTGCATTGCGCTTAGCTTTTTGGAAAGAGTGAGCTGTTCGTGTCCCTCACAGTGCACCTGTGACAATCACGGCAGAAATGACGGCATGGGATCAAGGTACGCTTCCCTCCTTGCTACTAAGTGTTCTAATGATTCCGAGGAAAAGGACTCAAACCAGATGGCCTTAATTTGAAAGCAAACTGTCGATCAGAAATCAGAGGAGAGAAGGTTTAATGTAGATAAGCTTTAATTTAATTGTGTTAATCCTGGTTGCCTACTCCGCCACTGTTTTCATTTAGAGCAGTTTAGTTCCTTCAAAGCCCCTCAAATTCTTTGAGACTCTCAGACGCTTTCTGTGTTACAAGAATATTCATGGCACTCATATTCACAAAACGAACCTTGCAGGAGGTCAAACCACTGAAATGCGTGTGGCCAGCTCAGCCTGATTATAGAAAGCACATGAGGGCAGGGCCGATCAGTAGGTGTGTGACATGCCCAGATCATTTGCTTCCAGGGTTTTCCATTTCATTTTGAGGATTATTCATGCCAACTGGATAGAGCTTAGGAAGTAGGAAGGAGAACACATAACAGAAATTAGAGAGGTTTCTAATCAGAATTTCTCATTTTAAGATATTGGAGTTTACAAAGAAGAGAAGTTTTAAAGAAACGTGTCAACTCTGTGTTGCAGACACTGAGGGACCTTACAGAAATTACTTAACCTCTGCGTTACTTTAATATCTACTTTTTTTTTTGAAAAAAAAAAGTGAAGTGAGAATAAATACTTATTCATAATGTGCATGAGTCCTTTTAAATAGAAGTTAAATGCAAAGCAAAAAAACTCTTGTTAGCTAAACATAGTAGACCTTGATTTTTTTTGAGAAGATATTTAATAACAAAATCAGATATTTTTGTCACTCAGTTAAAGTGAACAGTAAGCCTCTTAATTTGTTAAAAAAATTGCTCAGTTTATGTCTTACAAATTTATACAAATAAATAATAATTAACACATGTTTTTGAGTAGTTTGTTTTGATACGGTATAAAATTTACCTTACTAACTCTTGGTATCTCCAAGATATTCACTAGGTGGCTAAACACAGTGAGAAGAATATAACAAATTAAAGACCTACTTAGTAGAAGATAGGCAACAGTTAATGACGCAGGCCAGGCTTCTTTTGGGAAAACAATCACAGAAATGTTTCCTTCTCCATGGTGGCTCCACTACTGGTGGATTTTATAAAGTTCATAGCATATTATGCCTGAGAAGAACTCCAGAAATAATCTAGTTCGACCACTGTCATTTTCTAAATGAATAAACTAAACCACATAGAGACTAAATGACTTGTCTGAGGTCACAGTGTTGAGTTGCTGCAGTGATTGGCTGATAAAGATGCTGGGTCTTTTAGCTTCCAGTCCAGGCTTCCTCCCATCCCAGTGTACTGGAATGCTGGCTGAGTGAGGAGAAACTGGATCATTCTGGTATAAAGCAGCACTGAAATGTGTGATTCAGAATAGAGGTGAAGAGTAACAGGTGTATCTGGAGAATCCCAGGATTCTATAGGCTCTTCTCCTAAAGTTAAAGAGAGGAGACAACATGACCAGCATATCAGTACCTCATGGCTTCTGCTGTTTCCCTCTTTACATTATAGGCTGGCTTTCAGAATTCACTGATTTAATGTGATGTGTTTTACTGAATGGCCATTTTATTGTTATGTACTATAACTAACTATGTGATGCATTATAATTTAGATGGTTTGCAACACTTCTTATTGTTCAATTTCAGCAATCCAGTGAGGATTAATATATAATGAGAGATAAATCTTTTCTTTCTCAGGTTAAAATGAATCTAAATTCTCTGATTCTTCATACCTTACACCCACACATGGGGCAGGCTTGTTTTTTCTATGCCTGTTTTACATGTGCCAATAAACAAGAGCACAATGTGACTTGCTCAAGGTTACTTAAGTTAGTGAGTGGTAAAAAAATAAATAAACTTGTAGTTTCCGGTTTATTCTGTAGGCTGAAAGCAACACACATGTCACATTGTTAAAACAGAGCTTCACTTTAAACATCTAGTATGAACATTTGCCCTTTCTTTCTTTCTTTCTTTCTTTCTTTCTTTCTTTCTTTCTTTCTTTCTTTCTTTCTTTCTTTTTCTTTCTTTCTGCCTTTCTGCCTTTCTTTCTTTCTTCCTTTCTCTTGCTGTCTCTCCTTCTTGTATGATCTTTAAAAGGATCAGTTTATAACTTCAAGAGGAATTCCTTTAAAATGGTCTGTTTCCTAAAAAGTTTGAGTGTGCACTTTGGAGTTGGACAGATATGGGTTTGAAAGGTGGTTGTGTAACCACTAGCTCTGTGACCTTGGGAAGTTACCTAATATTGGTGGGCCTCAGTTATTTTATTTGTAAAAGTGAGATTGATGATAATAGTAGCAAACACCCATTGAGTGCTTATTATGTGCCAGGAAGATGTAAAAATTTCCATCCGTTTCAATAATAGTACCATATGGGAAAAAGAGGTAAGTGATTGGTGAAGTGGCTTTCCATGGCCACAAAGGAGGCAGCTGATTTGAACCAAGGTCAGCCAGACTCTAGAGATGGTGCCTTTACCTACTACCCAATATCTAGCTCATTGGGCTATTGTGATGATTAAATTTGGGAATGGATGTGATCCTCGATGCACAGGCCCGACACATGAAGAGCTCCATCAATCAGGCTGAATCCTATGAAGTTGCTGATACTTGATCGTTTTTTAACCACCTCAAATGACCATTTCATATGGTTCAACCTATAAGATGATGATGATGATGATGAATCATTAATGGACAGGTTAGCCAGGCTGAAGAGATTTTTTTCAAAAAACGAGTAGGAGATGAAAAATTGATGCATGTTTCAAATAAGTATTATTTCTTCAGATGAGTTTCAGAAAGCAGGTTTCCTTCCGCTCTGTGACACTAGGTCGGTGCTATGTAATGACATGGATATGAATGAGGTACCTACGAACATCCCCGTGGACACTGTGAAGCTTCGCATAGAGAAGACCGTTGTCCGTAGAATCCCCGCC